TCATCTGTGTCTCTCTTCACATGATTAAATGTATTTGGGCGTGGCCTTTAATGTCACTGTTTAGGGTCACGTATACATGAAAACATTGCTGTCATCGGTGTTTCAGCATTCTACAATGTACAAGTAGTAATTCCTAGTTGGTTTCATTCATGTCTTTCTTTGCTTGATTTTATCATGTTGCTGCTATATAAGACCCCCGTGGGTCCCTTGGGGCTGCTATCTGGGCTTATGTACAGGATAAAGTTGCTGTCATTGGTATTTTTGTTACCCCCAATGTATAATAGTTCCAATAAAAAAAAAATTCATCCGTGTCTCTCTTCACATGATTAAATGTATTTGGGCGTGACCTTTAATGTCACTGTTTAAGGTCACGTACAGGTAAAAGTTGCTGTCGCCTGTGACATTATAGCAAGTATCTACCTGGGAGTAATATCTAATTATTTTTATCCATGTCTCTCTCCACATGATTAAACACATTATTTAACCCCCTATTTCATTTCCCCCAGCCCGCTTGTACAGGAGTGCCCCGGCAGCAATACTGAATATTTTATCTTGGCCCTATACTATCATGACCAGACCATCAAACCTTTTGTCTCTTTTCACATGATTAAATTTTCTGGGCTCCCGGTCTATGTGTTTCTAGCCAGGATGACTGCGTCACGACAATAGTGTACAACATTTGAATACTGTACAGTAGTTGCAGCCTGGTTAAAAAGAAAAGCCACAAAGCCTATTAATAAACGTTTAATAACACACACAAATGTAAGAATATCGGTTGAATTATGTATTGTTAAAGTTACCGTAGGTGACGTTAACTTATTCTTCTTTATGCTGTGTATCATGTTCAATAGATATCTAATACTGTTCTCACACATGGCCCAGTTATGCTTTAATAAATACCGTAAATGCTCAAAAATAAGCGTCGCGGCGCTTATACAATTTTTGGAGGCTTCAGTGCAGTGTAAATAAACGCTTATAAAGAAATTTTGTTTTCATTTTGTTATTTATGCATTTTAAGACGGTAGGCCTATATCTTGTATTTAAAACCCTGTTTCTCAGAGTGTTTCCTTACACACAGGGCAATATACTCTCGATTAAGCTTATTCGAGAGCGGCACATAGCGAAACAAAAAATCAGGTTTGGTGCAGCGCTTATTCGAGAGCGGAGCTTATTCGAGAATTCACATTATGTGTTTTAATGAGACATAGGGAGTAAAGTTGTTTTAGCCCTTAAGAAAAATCCTGTTGTCGCATGAATTGAACCCGGACCTTGGATTGAAGGCATGCATCTTAAACTCCAAGCTATTCAACTCCACTTTTAACTTATATAACGATAGAAATATCGATATTTTCATATAGGCCTATTATTAATAATAATAATAATCACAAAAACAGACAATTATTATTATTATTATTTTTTTTAAATGATAATTAAGATACCATTGCTGTTGTAATGTTGAAAATGTATATGATATTTTATTACACCAGGAATACACTGCAGTGTATTCTTTTCTCAGGCATGCCTAATTTTTTCTAATATAACTGAAACAAGCTGGTTTTTTCTTCATTATTGTGGCTGGCGGTCAACTGGATTACAATATTGATTTCTTTAATTAACTTTAACACGGTATTGAACGATTCTTTCAAACACTTTGAGATTATTCCCTCACCCTCGATAATCGTGTTAGCATCGAACAAAAGACATGTATATATAAAATTAAATAGGTCTATGTACAGGTCTAAAGTAAAGTACCGTAAATATGCGTATTATAAGGAAATGATCTACCCATGGTATTCAAACGTTTTGACATTGTAACTCTACATTCCAGTTTGGCTGCAACCCAAACCTTTGTCGAACGAACATTGTCAGTTTCACAGATCAGATTTCAATTTAATGGTCATATTTACTAAGAATAAGACAGTTTGTGTCATCTCAGATTGCACAAGAAACCAAACTTCAAAAAAAGTCCAAAACATCATTGTATTAAAAAAGCAATAGTATTTTGTGAAAAGCAGTTTCATGAGGAAATCGATTCAGTATAAAATGTAGATACCATTGTTTTCGTTTTTAAAGTGTACATATTGAATAATCCACATCCTTGCAACGGATATTCCCCTCTGGGATTATCGCAACATTATTTCCTGAAAGCATGTGAACAAATTTTGTTTATAAAGAAATACGTTTTTGGATTAGGTATTCCATCACCACGAAGACATTAAGCTGAAAAAAAAAAACATTGCGAGAGTAGGTTTAATGTAAAATATTCATGTTTGTGCGTTGTTGTTTACTTTTGCTGTTCACTGTAATGTTTGTATTATGCAAAAAATAAATAAATAAATAAAATATTAATGTTTCGCTTTAAATTTAATCATGTAATTCGATAAGCTTAACTACCAGTGACGGAAGAATACTATTTGTTGGTCTAGCGTCGTCTTCATTGATCTTGACAAGAAAGCTATCAACACTACAATTACACAATGAATTGAGGTAACGATGTGATTTAACAAATAGCACTTCATATTTAGGCCATAATGTATAATTACACGTGACGCATAAAACACAGTAACAACTACTGGTAATTTCATACCATACCGTACAATTCATATCTTAATTAATAAGTTAAAAAATTTAGGCTTACTGTACATGTTTTGGATAGAACTATCAAAATACATTGAGAATACTTATATATTCATAATCAAACTAGTATATATATATATATATATATATATATATATATATATATAAGCAAATAATAACATCATGTTCCTATTTGAGCACTTATTATTTGTTTATTTGTTTACTGTTTGAATATTATATGCATATATATATTTATATATATATATGATTTATATATGTACGGTATTCATATATATAATTATGTATATATATGTATGTATATGTATATATGTATATATATATATATACATATATATATACATATATATATATATATATATATGTCAAATGACAGAAACAACACTTAAATAAAGGAGTAAATCATATTATTTGTCTCAAGCATAGCTCCTCAGACTGATTATATTTTTAATATTATTTTTGAATTCATATTAACAAAAATCTAGTGATTTTGATGCTGAACGCATTGAGTAAGCAGAACAAAGTATGTAATTTCATTCAGGGTTTTAAGTATTAACTATTACATACTATTATACAGATACAGTAAATTGTATGCAAAAAATACAATACTACTTATAATTACATTCATTACACATAATTGGTTTTCATACATCACTCTAAATTATTACTCGGTATAAACCTACAATATATGGAATACTATACAAACATTCCGTCATATTCTACAATATAGGCCTAGTTGTATTGGTTTATTTCACTTTCTTAACAAGGCAGTGGTTAAAGTTAGGGGAAAAATTAATGTTGTTTTATAAGCTTAATATTCCGTTAAGATTTGTCATTGAGGTAATTTTCTCCATTGGCAAATAATTATTAGCTTCGATCATTTCTATGCTTCGATCTTACCATAAAAACAGTATGCTAACAACTCGCACATCTACATAATTTATTTCAGGGAAATTCCAGCTCTTACCGTCATGGATGAGCCTCATTGATTAGCTTTGCCGTAGCGTGATTGTAAAGCCTTAATGAATCTACCGTACACGTTCATTTTATGAGTCATTTATCCATGCACGACAGCAGAAAACATCAACATTAGGACTACGACAATCTCATGATGCACATTGTAGACTCGCTAGCTTTCTAGACTAGTCGATTTCATCAATATCAGGATAACGTCAAGGCCAACGGGCATCTATGACTTTTCTATATATACCTTTTTTGAAGACACTTCGAAAGGTGTTTAGAACATAAATACTTTTCATCATATCATTAAGAAGCAATTTGAACAAGACTTCATTTTTGGAAATTTACGTAGTTCAAAGAACCTATTAGACAATAATACTGTATTACAACGACATATAATGTACATAAACTTATCTAACATTAATCTGATCTCCAGTAATATTAAAATATCTACAGATTATTAATGAATATTTACTGTTTTTATATTCCCATTTAAAGTTAAACATAGATCCTATGAATTGAAATGTACATCCACAAAATACTAGCACACGTCGTACACACACCGGCACATACCACATCAACTCCCCCTCCCACATACCCACACATATATTCACTTCTGCTTATTATTAAATATACAGCTATTTGAGATTAGAGCAGTGATAGGCCTAACCCTGCTATCCGAATATTATTTTCTACGCTTACGGGTATTAACGAGTATTAATACGATACTGAAATCAAACTACGCCACCACATGATCATAATTATGCCCATCATGTACATCTTTTAACATCATTCTGTACGTTTGATGGAAATACATCTCGTGCAAAACATAGGTTAATTTACTTTTACACATAATGAATAATATAATTATACATAATTAGTAAGACCACTCAGACTATACTTTGCTCTATTAGGTAAGCTAACATGGGGATTACAAGTAGTTTTAAAAAAGTATTAAATAACCTACACATATTTTTTATAAATACGTTATTCCAGTCAGGAAATATATCAATAGTAAGAAATAGCAAACACAATTTAGCAAAGCTTAAGATATAAATCAGTACAACATAATGTGATTAGTATATTAGCATCCAAATAGATTATTCAAATTCAGGTTCAAACATTTACACAATGATACTGAAATATTTTTTTCGCATTCTGAGTTATATCGAATCTACTATTTACATCTGTACATCTGTACATTTTTATAGTGCCTTCTTATTATAAGTACTATTTTTTTCTACAATTGCAGAGCTGATAGGAGAAGGCTAATGATGCTTAACAATGTGAGTATCTGCGGCAAACCTAAGGAAACTGCTTTGCCTCGATATTTAAGAGGAACACATTGATATAAGCATTTTCTGCTAAAATTACGCATAGAGTATGTCACATATACAACTCTACAAGACACTTCTCAATTTTATCAAGAAATAATTATTCTTTAGTATAATCATCACATGCTACATTACAGCCCTTGTTGGAAATTCATGATACATAATATTACCATTTGTCGGTTTCTTAGATATAAATGACTTAAAACTTAATGATAAACATGCTGACTCAACTGTCTAAAGTGAAGCCGCCGTGTACATCCTTTGTGAGTAGTATGCCTGACGTGACTGCGGTGATACCTGTGTATACGTCACATCATATTCACATTCACCAGGAACTTGAACTCCTACAGTCCTCATCCATGGGGCTGCTAAGCCTAACTGTGGTAACATAGGATCCACATGATCCTTAGGCTCGAAGTATACATCAGGTATAGAAACAGGTCTTCCTCTACTGACGGTGTCATTTGGCTGTCGTCGTGTATATCTCATGTAGCCGACGGGTATTAGAGCTAGGCCCAAAATTACTATGATGCAAGCCACTGCAATGGCAATAATAAGTGATATTGAGAAGTCTTTATTCTTTTTGTTTCTGTTTACAGGGTCGATGGTCTCTGGTTTTGTACGTTTGCTATTGGTCTTTTCTTTGTCTAAATTATTCTCTTCAATTCCTGTTTTTATTTTCGTCTTTTCCAATGGGCTTTTAGCATCTTTTGAACCAGAATTAAAAATAAGGATTTTAAAAGTCTGTGACCGGCTTCCAATGGAATTTGTTACTTTGCATTCAATAATTGTACCATTTATATCTTTTTGAGTGTGGAGAATTCTCAAAATACGTTCATTTTCTAATGTATACATGTCTTCATTGAGCTGTGAATTAATGTTCCATTCAAATGTTACTTCTGGTGGATTTGAATCACTGTAGCAAATAAATATGGCTTCTTTCCCGAGCATGGCAACGTCCGTTTGCTCGATACGCACGTGTGGAGCATAAAGAACATTGATTGGTCCAGTACTACAATTTCGTCGTATTGCAATATTTGCCGGGGTTGTCATTTCACATATAAACATGGATCCTTGATCATTTTTACTGGCAATGAATGAATAGGATATTATGTAAGCATCTGTTTTGATAGATGTTTCAACTTGTGAAGACCTAACCTCAGCATCGTTACGTTTCCATGTCAAATCCGCAAGAGGGTTTGTTATTTCTGATCTACAAGTAACAACAATGTTCTCTCCAATTTTATAACTTGCAGAGATAGGAGAGCAAAGTGGATAATGTTCTCGAGGAATTTGTAGCACAGTTAAATTAGCTGGCTGCGACTGGGCAATTAAATGGTTTTCACGATTAAACACAGTACACACAAATTGTCCACTATCCTCTCTTTGAACGTTTCGTATATGTAAATTAAATGTACCAAGCAAAGCATTACCATCAATATTATACCTTTCATCTAATTGATTGTCAAGAATTATTCCATCTTCACTTATTTTCTCATCACCGTAAATCCACGAAACGTATTCCATATCGTTAAGATCAACCACCATACAAGTAAAATAAGCAACTCCACCCTCCGGTTGTCGGTTATTTTGTGGTTCAAAGCGAAATTCGGTAAATGAACTCGATGGATAAATGCAAGCTAGGAATAGCAGGAACATCAATAAGCCCATATGCATTTTTGAAATGTTCCTTTGCTATATTATTTGGAAAGCTACATTCTCAAAATTAAAATCATCTTTATAACATGCGTAGAAATTGGTATAAGAAAATGTGTAGATTATAAATCACTTCCATGAATCAGCATGTATTGGTATGGGTACACCCACAGGTCAGACGGTTAATGAATATTCATTTTAAAATACATACGGCTATATTTGTGCATAAGCAATATAATATTAAGTTACTGGGTCTTTCTAAGTTGGAATAGTAGAACTCAAAGCGATGCCGCCGTGTACATCCTTTGTGAGTAGTAGGCCTGGCGTGACTGTGGTGATACTTGTGTATACGTCACATCATATTCACATTCACCAGGAACTTGAACTCCTACTGTCCTCATCCATGGAACTGCTAAGCCTAACTGTGGCAGAATAGGATCCACGTGGTCCTTAGGCTCAAAGTATACATCAGGTATAGAAACAGGTCTTCCTCTACTGACGGTGTCACTTGGTTGTCGTCGTGTATATCTCATGTAGCCGACGGGTATTAGAGCTAGGCCCAAAATTACTATGATGCATGCCACTGCAATGGCAATAATAAGTGGTAATGAGAAATCTTCATTCGTTTTGTTCTTGTTTACAGAGTCGATGGTCTCTGGATTTTTATGTTTACTATTTTTCTTTTTTGTCTGTAAATTACTGTCTTTTCCTGTTTTTATTTCTTCCTTTCCCAATGGGTTTTTAGCATTTTTTGGTACAGAACTAAAAATAATAATTTTAAAAGTCTGTGACCGACTTCCAATAGCATTTGTTACTTTGCATTCAGTAATTGTACCATTTATATTTTTTTGAGTGTTGGGAATTCTCAAAATACGTTCATTTTCTAATGTATACATACTATTCTCAAGTGATGGATTAAATATCCATTCGAATGTTACATCCGGTGGATTTGATTCACTGTAGCAAATAAAGATGGCTTCCTTCCCGAGCACCAGAACGTCTGTTTGCTCAATACGAACTTGTGGAGCATAAAGAACATTAATTGGTCCGCTACTACAATTACGCCTTATAGCTGAATTTGCTGGGGTTGTCAGTTCGCATGTAAATAAAGATCTGTGATCGCTAATACTGGCAACTAGTGAATATGAAACTATGTAATCTGTACCTATAGACGTTTCAACATGTGACGTAGCCTCGACGTTATTACGTTTCCATGTCAAAATTGCACGAGGGACTGTTATTTCAGATCTACACGTAACAACAATTTTCTTGCCAATAATATAACTTGATAAGATAGGAGAGCAAATTGGATAATGTTCACCAGGAATCTGAAGTACTGTTAAGTTTGCTGGCTGTGACGCAGAAACAACATCATTTTCGCCTTTGAATACATTACATATAAATTGTCCACTATCTTCTCGTTGGACATTTAGAATATGTAAATTAAAAATACCATGCAAAGAATTAGCGTCTACTATGTACCGCTTATCTATATGTTTGTCAGTGATTATTCCACCTTTACTGATAATATTACCATCATGAATCCACGAAACGTATTCCAGAACGTCGAGTTCAATCACCATACAATTGAAATAAACTACTCCTCCCTCCGGTTGAATTTCATTATCGGGCTCTTTGCGAAATCCGGTAAAAGTAAACGATGGATAAATGTTAATCACAAAAATCAACAATAATGTTATCTGCATTTTTACATTGTTCTTTTCAAACAAACGTTTCCGTGATTTCTATATGAAATAAGTCAAAATGTGTTTAGTAAACAAATGCCATGCACAGGCAGTATTGATAGAGTGTCCAGGTTCCTCAACAAAACAACATGAGTGCTTAAAGTTACTCCCATTAAACACACAACTAATGAATATTCATGTACAAATATAATAGAGTTAGACGCGTATATTATAAAAATAATGTTGAGTTACTGGTTTAAGATATGTTAGATATAATTTAAGTAATTAAAGCGATGCTGCCGTGTACATCCTCTGAGAGTAATATGCCTGACGTGACTGTGGTGATACTTGTGTATACGTCACATCATATTCACATTCACCAGGAACTTGAACTCCAACTGTCCTCATCCATGGAGCTGCTAAGCCTAACTGTGGTAGCATAGGATCCACGTGGTCCTTAGGCTCGAAGTATACATCAGGTATAGAAACAGGTCTTCCTCTACTGACGGTGTCACTTGGCTGTCGTCGTGTATATTTCATGTATCCGACGGGTATTAGAGCTAGGCCCAAAATTACTATGATGCATGCCACTGCAATGGCAATAATAAGTGATATTGAGAAGTCTTCATTCTTTTTGTTCCTGTGTACAGGTTTGATAGTCTCTGAATTTGTATGTTTACTATTGGTCTTTTCTGTGTCTAAATTATTCTCTTTAGTTCCTGTTTTTATTTCCTCCTTTCCCAATGCGGTTTCAGTAGGTTTTGAAACAGAAGTAAAAATAGTGATTTTAGAAGTCTGTGACCGACTTCCAATGGAATTTGTTACTTTGCATTCAATAATTGTACCATTTATATCTTTTTGCGTGTTCAGAATTCTTAAAATGCGTTCATTTTGTATTGTATGCATATCTTCATCGAGTGCTGGATTAAAGTTCCATTCAAATGTTACTTCTGGTGGATTTGAATCACTGTAGCAAATAAATATTGCTTCTTTCCCGAGCATGGCAACGTCCGTTTGCTCGATACGCACGTGTGGAGCATAAAGAACATTGATTGGTCCAGTACTACAATTTCGTCGTATTGCAGTATTTGCCGGGGTTGTCATTTCACATATCAACATGGATCTTTGATCATTTTTACTGATAATGAATGAATACGATATTATGTAGGCATCTGTTTTGATAGATGTTTGAACTTGTGAAGACCTTACCTCACCATCGTTACGTTTCCATGTCAAATCCGCAAGAGGGTCTGTTATTTCTGATCTACAGGTAACAATAATGTTTTCTCCAATTTTATAACTTGCTAAGATAGGAGAGCAAAGTGGATAATGTTCTCGTGGAATTTGTAGCACTGTTAAATTAGCTGGCTGCGACTCAGCTACCAACTGATTGTTGCCTTTAAATACAGCACAAACAAATATTCCACTATCCTTTCTTTGAACGTCTCGAATATGCAAATTAAATGTACCAAGCAAAGCATTACTATCGACATTATATCTATCATCTAATTTTTTGTCAAGGATTGTTCCATCTTTACTAATTTTTTTACCATCGTGAATCCACGAAACGTATTCCATACCGTTAAGATTGACGACAATACAATTGAAATAAGCTAGTCCACCCTCTGGTTGAGTTTCTTTATCGGGCTCTTTGCGAAATCCGGTAAAACTACTCGATGGATAAATGTTAATCACGACAATCAACAACAATAAAAACTGCATCGTTATAAATTTTCTTTTCAAATCAACATGTTTGCAGTGGTCCCTCTTTAAAATATGCCAAAGTGTTAATAAATGAATATCGTGTACTGACAATGTTGATAGAGTATTCAAGTTCATCAATAAAACGATAAGAATGTATAAAGTTCCTCCCATTAAACACACAGCTAATGAATATTCATGAACAAATGTAATACAATTAGACGCGTGTATTATAAAAAACAATGTTGAGTTACTGGTTTAAGATATGTTAGGTAAAAAATTTAAGAACTCAAAGCGATGCTGCCGTGTACATCCTTTGTGAGTAGTAGGCCTGGCGAGACTGTGGTGATACCTGTGTATACGTCACATCATATTCACATTCACCAGGGACTTGAACTCCTACTGTCCTCATCCATGGAGCTGATAAACCTAACTGTGGTAGCATAGGATCCACGTGGTCCTTAGGCTCAAAGTATACATCAGGTATAGAAACAGGTCTTCCTCTACTGACGGTGTCACTAGGCTGTCTTCGTGTGTATCGCATGTAGCCAACAGGTATTAAGGCTAAGCCCAAAATTAATATGATGCATACCACTGCAATGGCAACAATAAATGATATTGAGAAGTCTTTATTATTTGTGTTCTTGTTTACAGGTTCAATAGTATCTGGATTTGTATGCTTACTATTGGTCTTCTCTATGTCTAAATTATTCTTTTCAATTCCTGTTTTTATTTCTTCCTTTTCCAATGGGCTTTTAGCATCTTTTGAACCATAACTAAAAATAATGATTTTAAAAGTTTGTGACCGACTTCCAATGGAATTTGTTACTTTGCATTCAATAATTGTACCATTTATATCTTTTTGCGTGTTTAGAATTCTCAAAATGCGTTTATTTTCTAATGTATACATGTTTTCATCGAGTGGTGGATAAAAGTTCCATTCGAATGTTACTTCTGCTGGATTTGAATCACTGTAGCAAATAAATATCGCTTCGTTTCCGAGTATGACAACGTCGGTTTGCTCGATGCGCACGTGTGGAGCATAAAGAACATTGATTGGTCCAGTACTACAATTTCGCCGTATTGCAGTATTTGCTGGAGTTGTCATTTCACATGTAAATGTGGATCTTTGATCATTTTCACTGGCAATGAATGAATAGGATATTATGTAAGCATCTGTTTTGAAAGATGTTTCAACTTGTGAAGACCGAACCTCAACATCGTTACGTTTCCATGTCAAATACGATAGAGGGTCTGTTATTTCTGATCTACAGTTAACAATAATGTTTTCTCCAATTTTATAACTAGCTGAGATGGGAGAGCAAAGTGGATAATGTTCTCGAGGAATTTGTAGCACAGTTAAATTTACAGGCTGCGACCCAGCAACCAACTGATTTTCACCTTTAAACACAGCACAAACAAATGTTCCACTATCTTTTCTTTGAACGTCTCGAATATGCAAATTAAATGTACCAAGCAAAGCATTACTATCGACATTATATCTATCATCTAATTCTTTGTCAAGGATTGTTCCATCTTCACTAATTTTCTTACCATCGTGAATCCACGAAACGTATTCCATATCATTAAGATCAACTACAATACACGTAAAATAAGCTACTCCAGCCTCTGGTTGTCGGTTATTCTGTGGTTCAATACGAAATCCCGTAAATGACCTCGATGGATAAATGCAGGCTAGGAGTAGCAAGAATATCAATAGGCTTATCTGCATTATTTTAGTGTTCTTTTGCTATATTATTTCCAAAGCTACATTCTCAAGATGAGAATCATCTGAATGACATGTGTATGCATAGGTATATGCATGGTATAAGAAAATGTGTAGATTATTATTCACTTCCATGAATCAGCATGTATTAGTAACTGAGTACACCTACAGGTACGACGGTAATGAATATTCATATTAAAATTCACACGGCTATATTTGTGCTTAAGCAAAATAATGTTAAGTTACTGGTTCTTAATACGTTGGAAAATAATAATAGAACTCAAAGTGATGCCGCCGTGTACATCCTTTGTGAGTAATATGCCTGACGTGACTGTGGTGATACTTGTGTATACGTCACATCATATTCACATTCACCAGGAACTTGAACTCCAACTGTCCTCATCCATGGAGCTGCTAAACCTAACTGTGGTAACATAGGATCCACATGATCCTTAGGCTCGAAGTATACATCAGGAATAGAAACAGGTCTTCCTCTACTGACGGTGTCACTTGGCTGTCGTCTTGTATATCTCATGTATCCGACTGGTATTAGAGCTAGGCCCAAAATTACTATGATGCATGCCACTGCAATGGCAATAATAAGTGATATTGAGAAATCTTCATTCGTTTTGTTGTTGTTTACAGAGTCGATAGTTTCTAGATTTTTATGTTTACTATTGGTCTTTTCTGTGTCTAAACTACTCTCTTCAATTCCTGTTTTTGTTTCCTCCTTTTTCAATGGACTTTTAGCATCCTTTGAGCTAGAACTAAAAAAGATGATTTTAAAAGTCTGTGACCGACTTCCCATGGAATTTGTTACTTTGCATTCAATAATTGTACCATTTATATTTTTTTGCATGTTGAGAATTCTCAAAATGCGTTCATTTTCTAGTGTATACATTGTTTTATCGAGTGGCGGAGTAAATGTCCATTCAAATGTTACTTCTGGTGGATTTGAATCACTGTAGCAAATAAATATGGCTTCGTTTCCGAGTATGACAACGTCGGTTTGCTGGATGCGTACGTGTGGAGCATAAAGAACATTGATTGGTCCAGTACTACAATTTCGTCGTATTGCAGTATTTGCGGGGGTTGTCATCTCACATGTAAATATAGATCTTTGATTATTTTCAATTGCAATGAATGAATACGATATTTTGTACATATCTCCATCAATTAATGCTTCAACTTGTGCAGGTCTAACACCAACATCTGTCTCTTATACACATCTAGATGTGTATAAGAGACAGACTCAAAGTGATGCCGCCGTGTACATCCTTTGTGAATAGTATGCCTGACGTGACTGGGGTGATACTTGTGTATACGTCACATCATATTCACATTCACCAGGAACTTGAACTCCAACTGTCCTCATCCATGGAGCTGATAAACCTAACTGTGGTAACATAGGATCCACGTGATCCTTAGGCTCGAAGTATACATCAGGAATAGAAACAGGTCTTCCTCTACTGACGGTGTCACTTGGCTGTCGTCTTGTATATCTCATGTAGCCGACGGGTATTAGAGCTAGGCCCAAAATTACTATGATGCATGCCACTGCAATGGCAATAATAAGTGATATTGAGAAGTCTTCATTCGTTTTGTTGTTGTTTACAGAGTCGATAGTTTCTAGATTTGTATGTTTACTATTGGTCTTTTCTGTGTCTAAACTACTCTCTTCACTTCCTGTTTTTGTTTCCTCCTTTTTCAATGGACTTTTAGCATCCTTTGAGCTAGAACTAAAAACGATGATTTTAAAAGTCTGTGACCGACTTCCCATGGAATTTGTTACTTTACATTCAATAATTGTACCGTTAATATCTTTTTGGGTGTTGATAATTCTTAAAATGCGTTCATTTTCTAATTTATACATGTCTTCATCGAGTGGTGGATTAAAGTTCCATTTGAATGTTACATCCTGTGGATTTGAATCACTGTAGCAAATAAAGATTGCTTCTGTTCCGAGTCTAGGGACATTGGTTTGCTTGATCCACACCTTTGGAGCATAAAGTATGTTAATTGGTCCAATACTGCAATTTCGACGAATAGCTAAATTTGCCGAGGTAGACATTTCACACGTAAATGTAGATCTTTGATCACTTTCACTGGCAATGAATGAATATGATATTATATAAGCATCCCTATCGATAGATGCTTCAACTTCTGAAGACCAAACTTCAGCCTCGTTACGTTTCCATGTCAAATCCGCAAGAGGGTCTGTTATTTCTGATTTACAGGTAACAATAATATTTTCTCCAATTTTATAACTTGCTGAGATGGGAGAGCAAAGTGGATAATGTTCTTGAGGAATTTGTAGCACAGTTAAATTTACAAGCTGCGTCCCAGCTAACAACTGATTTTTGCGTTTAAACACAGCACAAACAAATGTTCCACTATCTTTTCTTTGAACGTCTCGAATATGCAAATTAAATGTACCAAGCAAAGCATTACCATCTATAATATTATATCTATCATCTAATTCTTTGTCAAGAATTCTTCCATCTTCACTAATTTTCTTACCATCGTGAATCCACGAAACGTATTCCTTATCATTAAGATCAACTACAATACACGTAAAAAAAGCTACTCCACCCTCCGGTTGCCGGTTATTTTGTGGTTCAATCCGAAATCCAGTAAACGATCTCGACGGATAAATGCAAGCTAGCAGTAGCAAGAACATAAATATGCCTATATGCATTTTTGTAATGTTCATTACTATTTTATTTCCAAAGCTACATTCTCAAGATGAGAATTATCTTTATAGCTTGTGTATTCATAGGTACATGTATGGTATATATGGAAATGTGTAGATTATTATTCACTTCCATGAATCAGAATGTATGATAAATGGGTACACCCACAGGTCAGACGGTTAATGAATATTCATATTAAAATACATACAGCTATATTTTGTGCATAAGCAAAATAATGTTAGGTTACTGGGTCTTAATGCGTTGGAAAATAATAATAGAACTCAAAGTGATGCCGCCGTGTACATCCTTTGTGAATAGTATGCCTGACGTGACTGTGGTGATACTTGTGTATACGTCACATCATATTCACATTCACCAGGAACTTGGACTCCTACTGTCCTCATCCATGGAGCTGCTAAGCCTAACTGTGGTAGCATAGGATCCACGTGATCCTTAGGCTCAAAGTATACATCGGGTATAGAAACTGGTCTTCCTCTACTGATGGTGTCACTTGGCTGTCGTCTTGTATATCTCATGTAGCCGACAGGTATTAGAGCTAGGCCCAAAATTACTATGATGCATGTCACTGCAATGGCAATAACAAGTGATACTGAGAAGTCTGCATTCTTTTTGTCCTGTTTTTTTGAGTCGATTGTCTCTGGATTTGTATGTTTACTGTTGGTCTTTTCTGTGAATGGATTATTCTCTTCAATATCTGTTTTTATTTTATCCTCTATTGGACTTTTAAAATCCTTTGAACTAGAGCTAAATATAATGATCTTAGAAGTCTGTGATCGACTTCCAATAGAATTTGTTACTTTGCATTCAATAATTGTACCATTTATATCTTTTTCCGTGTTGAGAATTCTCAAAATGCGATCATTTTCTAATGTATACTTGTTTTCATCGAGTGGTGGATAAAAGTTCCATTCGAATTTTACTTCTGGTGGATTTGAATCACTGTAGCAAATAAATATGGCTTCGTTTCCGAGTATGACAACGTCGGTTTGCTGGATGCGTACGTGTGGAGCATAAAGAACATTGATTGGTCCAGTACTACAATTTCGCCGTATTGCAGTATTTGCTGGAGTTGTCATTTCGCATGTAAATGTGGATCTTTGATCATTTTTACTGGCAATGAATGAATAGGATATTATGTAAGCATCTGTTTTGATAGATGTTTCAACTTGTGAAGACCTAACCTCAGCATCGTTACGTTTCCAGGTCAAATCCGCAAGGGGGTCTGTTATTTCTGATCTACAAGTAACAACAATGCTTTCACCAATTTTATAACTAGCTGAGATAGTAGAGCAAAGTGGATAGTTTTCTCGAGGAATTTGTAGCACAGTTAAGTTAGCTGGCTGCGACTGGGCAATTAAATGGTTTTTACGATTAAACACAGTACATACAAATGATCCACTGTCTTCTCTTTGAACGTTTCGAATATGCAAATTAAATATTCCAAGAAAAGCATTACCATCGATATAATATCTATCATCTAACTGATTGTTAAGAATTGTTCCATCTTCACTAATTTTCTTACCATCATGAATCCACGAAACGTATTCCATATTGTTAAGTCCAACCAACATGCAATTAAAATAAGCTACTCCACCCTCCGGTTGTCGGTTATTTTGTGGCTCTAAGCGAAATCCTGTAAATGATCTCGATGGATAAATGCAAGCTAACAGTAGCAAAAACATCAATAGGCCTATCTGCATTTTTGTAATGTTCTTTTGCTATATTTGGAAAGCTACATACTCGAGATGAGAATCATCTTTATAACCTTGTGTAGGAATGGTATATGTATGGTAAAAGGAAATGCTTAGATTGTTATTCACTTCCATGAATCAGCATGTATTGGTAAATGGGTACACCCACAGGTCAGTCGGTTAATCATGAATATTCATATTAAAATTCACACGGCTATATTGTGCATACGCAAAATAATGTTAAGTTACTGAGTCTTAATACATTGGGAAATCATAATAGGAGAACTCAAAGTGATGCTGCCGTGTACATCCTTTGTGAATAGTAAGCTTGGCGAGACTGTGGTGATACCTGTACATATGTCACATCATATTCACATTCGCCAGGAACCTGAACACCTACTGTCCTCATCCATGGAGCTGCTAAGCCCAATTGTGGTAACATAGGATCCACGTGATCCTTAGGCTCGAAGTATACATCAGGAATAGAAACAGGTCTTCCTCTACTGACGGTGTCACTTGGCTGTCGTCTTGTATATCTCATGTAGCCGACGGGTATTAGAGCTAGGCCCAAAATTGCTATGATGCATGCCACTGCAATGGCAATAACAAGTGATACTGAGAAGTCTTCATTCTTTTTGTTTCTGTTTACAGGGTCGACGGTCTCTGACTTTGTATATTTACTATTGGCCTTTTCTGTGTCTAAATTATCCTCTTCAATTCCTGTATTTATGTTCCCTTTTTCAAATGGGCTATTAGTATTTTTTGAACCTGAACTAAAAATAATGATTTTAAAAGTCTGTGACCGACTTCCAATAGAATTTTTTACTTTGCATTCAATAATTGTACCATTTATATTTTTTTGCATGTTGAGAATTCTCAAAATGCGTTCATTTTCTAGTGTATACATTGTTTTATCGAGTGGCGGAGTAAATGTCCATTCAAATGTTACTTCTGGTGGATTTGAATCACTGTAGCAAATAAATATGGCTTCTTTCCCAAGTATGGCAACGTCTGTTTGTTCGATGCGCACGTGTGGAGCATAAAGAATATTGATTGGTCCAGTACTACAATTTCGTCGTATTGCAGTATTTGCGGGGGTTGTCATCTCACATGTAAATATAGATCTTTGATTATTTTCACTTGCAATGAATGAATACGATATTTTGTACATATCTCCATCAATTAATGCTTCAACTTGTGCAGGTCTAACACCAGCATCGTTCTGTTTCCAGCTCAAGAGCGCAAGTGGGTCTGTTAACTCGGATGTACACGTAACAATAATAGTTGTTCCAATATTATAACTAGCTGAGATAGGAGAACAAAGTGGATAATGTTCTCGAGGAATTTGAAGCACAGTTAGATTTGCTGGCTGCGACTGGGCAATAACATTGTTTTCACGTTCAAACACAGTACATACAAACTGTCCACTATCCATTCGTTGAATATTCTGAATATTTAAGTTATATGCACCAAGTAAAGTATCACTGTGAATTGTATACCGCTCATCTGTTTTATCACCAATGATTATTTCATCTTCACTTATTTTCTTACCATTATGTATCCATGAGACGTATTCCACACTGTTGAGACTAATCACCATGCAATTAAAATAAGCTACTCCACCCTCCGGTTGTCTGTCGCTTTGAGGCTCTTTTCTGAATCCAGTAAAACTGTTAGAAGGATAGATGCTAGTTAAAATAAACAACACTAAAAACTGCATTTTTGTAATGTTTTCCGTCTAATCAATTCACATTTTTACCGTGATTTTCAACTTTATACACTTAAATTAGTTGGTTAACAGATATACCGTATTGACAGTGTAGAAAATTATTCTCGTCAATCCAAAAACAGCAACGTGAATAGTAACACCCACATGAACGGCTAATGAATATTAATGCTCATATTATTAAGTTAAACTGGTATATTACAGAAACAATATTTAGTTACTGGTTCTAGATAAGTTTGGTATAACATCAAAACTTCATGAAATTACGTCGTATTGATGCTCATATTTAATACAGTCAAATAAAGAAAAACATTGTTTTATTTTTGGTTCTATATACTATTAGTAAATAAAACTTAAAGTGATGCCGCCGTGTACATCCTCTGGGAGTAGTATGCCTGACGTGACTGTGGTGATACCTGTGTATACGTCATATCGTATTCACATTCACCAGGGACTTGAACTCCTACTGTCCTCATCCATGGAGCTGCTAAGCCTAACTGTGGTAGCATAGGATCCACGTGATCCTTAGGCTCAAAGTATACATCGGGTATAGAAACGGGTCTTCCTCTACTGACGGTGTCACTTGGTTGTCTCCGTGAATATCTCATGTAACCGACGGGTATCATAGCTAGACCTAGGATCACTACAATACATGCTACTGCAATGGCAACAATTAGTGAAATTGAGATAACTGTTCTTTCTACCTGTGGATCAGATGATGCTGTCGCCGATTCCTGGGGTTTGTTGTTGGATTTTGTGTCTTGTGCTTTCTGTTTGTTTCTTGAGTTTGTGGTATCTGGGTTCTCTTCGTTAGATCCTTTCGTTTTTTCAACTATATTTTGGCGTTCAACGTTGATATACAATACGTTTGAACCACTTCCAATAGAATTTGTGACTTGACACATAACCTTAGTGCCATTTAAATTTGTCGTAATATATAAGATTCTCAAAATACGATCATTTTCTAACATATACATATGTCTATCAATTGGAGGCTTGAAAGTCCATTCGAAAGTTACTTCCTGTGGATTTGCGTCACTATAACATATAAAAATGGCTTCTTTACCAATAATAACGTTACGTGTTTGTTGGATACGTACGAGAGGAGCATATATAATGTTAATTGGTCCACTGGAACAATTCCGCTTAATGGATGGGTTAGCGGAAGTTGTTAATTCACATGAAAACAATGCTCTATTATCGGATTTCTTAGCAACAAATGAATAAGTTACAATATAATTATCATTAGTCATTTCTTGAACAAATTTAGACGTAATATAAATATTATTGCGCATCCATGCTAAACGAACAGGAGGTTCGATTCTTTCTGATATACATGAAACAGCAATATTTTGTCCAACAGCATAACTGGCTGCAATAGGAGAACAAATTGGGTAATGTTCTCTGGGAGTTTGGAGGACTGTGAAGTTTGCTGAATTAGACTCCGCAACTGTTTTGCCATCGCCTTTCAATACTGTACACACATATTCACCTTCATCTCGCCTTTTGACATTAAGAATCTGTAAATTGTACTTGCCAAATTGTTCATTAAAATCTATAGAATAACGCTTCCGTATCTGTTCATCAATTATATTTGCTCCATTGCTTATAATTTGACTATTTTTTTTCCAAGAGACATACTCCGTTGATTTTAATTCCATAACAATGCACGTAAAGTATGCTAGTCCACCTTCTATTTCTTTTTCATTTGTGGGCTCCTTGTTAAATCCAGAAAAAGAAAACGATTGCAGAATAAAATTTAGTAATACTAGCAAACACAAACTCACGTTTTTAACAACTGCAAAACATAAATCCATCGTACATTATTTTACTTCTGTGATACAAGTGTCGACATACTAGACCTAAAAGCATAGCAAATGAACTAACTACCGATGGAGTTTCATACATTGTTCCGACAACTGAAAGTAGATTGAACGGAACCGCCCATCTGCGGGCATCTAATGAATATTCATCAAGAAAGTATTGTTGCAATATTTTGTTGGTGTTACAGGTTTGCAAATATATTCAAATATCGGCACATCGCTTACATGGATGCTGCCGTGTACATTCTTTGTGAATAGTAGGCCTGACGTGATTGTGGTGATACCGGTGTATACGTCATATCATATTCACATTCACCAGGAACTTGAACTCCTACTGTCCTCATCCATGGAGCTGATAAGCCTAACTGTAGTAGCATAGGATCCATGTGGTCCTTAGGCTCGAAGTATACATCAGGTATAGAAACAGGTCTTCCTCTACTGACGGTATCACTAGGTTGTCTTCGTGTGTATCTCATATAGCCAACTGGAATCATAGCTAGGCCTAGGATCACTACAATACTTGCCACTGCAATAGCAACAATTAGTGATATTGAGATGCGAGTCGTATCTTTCTGCTGGTCAGGTGATTTTGTTATTAATACCAGATGATTGGTGTTGGTTTTTAAGTCTTTCGATCGATCTTTGTTTTCCGATTTCATGGTATCAACATAATCGGCTTTAGATTCTTCTGAAGAAACTTGGCTTTGAATGTTAATATATATTACGCTTGAACCACTCCCGATAGAATTTGTAACTTGGCACATAACCTTAGTGCCATTTAAAATTCGTTTCATGTCTATAATTCTCAAAATACGATTATTTTCTAACATATACATATTTATATCAATTGAAGGATTGAAAGTCCATTCGAATCTTACTTCCTGTGGATTTGCATTACTGTAACATATAAAGATGGCTTCCTTACCAAGAACAATGTTGCCTGTTTGTTTAATACGTACAAAGGGAGCATACATGATGTTAATCGGTCCACTGGAACAATTCCGCCTGATAGATGGGTTAGCTGAAGTTGTAAGTTCACATATAAACATTGCTCTATTGTCAGATTTCTTTGCAAGAAATGAATGATTTACTATGTTATTATCATCACTCATTTGTCGATCAATTCCTGACGTAATGTCAATATTATTGCGCTTCCATGATAAACGGACAGGAGGTTCAATTTTTTCTGATATACATGAAATAACAATAATTTGACGCAGAGAATAACTAGCTGCGATAGGAGAGCAAATTGGGTAATGTTCTCTAGGTATTTGAAGAACTGTAAAATTTGCTGAATTTGACTCTTCGACAATTATTTCCCCGCTATTATATATAGTACACGTATACTCTCCTTTATCTCTCCGCTGAATGTTCTGAATTTGCAAACTATACTTTTTAAAATCAGGATCATAGTCTATTGAAAAACGATCTGTGTTACGTTGGTCAATGATTCGATCATCGTTACTTATCTTGCGACCATTATGTAACCATGAGACATATTCGGTATCATCAAGCCTTCTAATAATACAATTAAAATACGCCCGCTCACCCTCTGCCTGCTTTTCATCAGATGGCTGCTTTAGAAATCTTGAGAACGAAGACGTTTGATGTACCCAGAATACGAAGAACATGACACAAACTAAACATTCCATTTTAAACTTAAATTAAAAAATCAGCTTTCAAAACATCACATCTTATGTTTTAAAATACGTAATATTTATCCAGGAAAAATGTCACAATGTTTTCAAAAGCAGTACAACGCATTAGTTTGTATAGTAGCCGCAACATTTATTGAAATTGAATATTGATATTCTAATAATTTATTCGTCAATTGTTGTGACATGTTATATTTAAAGTTATGTTACTTGTTTTAGGAAATTCCAACAAATGAACCACTGCTACAGGGAAGCTGCAGTGTACATTCTCTGAGAGTAGTAGGCCTGACGTGACTGTGGTGATACCTGTGTATACGTCACATCGTATTCACATTCACCAGGAACCTGAACTCCAACTGTCCTCATCCATGGGGCTGATAAGCCTAACTGTGGCAGCATAGGATCCACATGATCCTTGGGCTCGAAGTATACATCAGGTATAGAAACGGGTCTTCCTCTACTGAGGGTGTCATTAGATTGCCTTCGTGTGTATCTCATGTAGCCAACTGGAATCATAGCTAGGCCTAGGATCACTACAATACTTGCCACTGCAATAGCAACAACTAGTGATATTGAGATGTGAGTCGTATTTTTTTGCTGCTCAGGTGATGCTGTTATTAATACCTGATGATTGGTGTTGGGTTTGATGTCTTTGTTTCGATCTTTGTTTTCCAAATTCATGGTATCAACGTAATCGGCTTTAGATTCTTCTGAAGAAACTTGGCTTTGGATGTTAATATATAATACACTTAAACCAATCCCCATAGAATTTGTAACTTGGCACATAACCTTAGTGCCATTTAAAATTCGTTTCATGTCTGTAATTCTCAAAATACGATCATTTTCTAACAGATACATATTTCTATCAATTGGAGGATTGAAAGTCCATTCGAATCTTTCTTCCTGTGGATTTGCGTCACTGTAACATATGAAGATGGCTTCCTTATCAAGAACAATGTTGCCTGTTTGTTTAATGCGTACAACAGGAGCATAAATGATGTTTATCGGTCCACAGGAACAATTCCGCCTGATAGATGGGTTAGCTGAAGTTGTGAGTTCACATATAAACATTGCCCTATTGTCAGATTTCTTTGCAAGAAATGAATAATTTACTACATGATTATCATCAGTCACTTTTCGATCAATTCCCGACGTGATGTCAACACTATTGCGCTTCCATTTTAAACGGACAGGGGGTTCTATATTTTCTGATATACACGATATAATGATAGCTTGTCCAAGAGAGTACCTTGCGGCGATAGGAGAGCAAATTGGGTAATGTTCTCGAGGTATTTGAAGAACTGTAAAATTCGCTGATTTAGACTCCGCGACAATACCCTTGCTGTTATATATTGTACACGTATACTTTCCTTTATCTCTCCGTTGAATGTTCTGAATTTGCAAATTATACTTTTTAAAATCAGGATCATAGTCTATTGAAAAACGGTCTAAGTTATCTTGGTCAATGATTCGATCATCGTTACTTATTTTGCGACCATTATGTAACCAGGAGACGTATTCGGTATCATCTAGTCTTTTAATAATACAAATAAAATAAGTCCGCTCACCTTCCACCTGTTCGTCGTCAAATGGCTGTTGTAAAAATTTAGAGAACGAAGATGTTTCACTAGCAAAAAATACAAGAACCAAGGAATATATTATGTAATTCATCTCAACGCTTGATAGTAAACATCCACTTTCAAAATATCACAATAAAAAGAATGCATTATGTTTGAAATATGGAAGGTTTATCAAATATATGTTTCCTATGGTTTTCAACAGCAACATATTGTAGCGTACTCGCGATACACTTACAAATAAAATTGAATATTCATTCTAATAATCTATTCCTTAATTCTTGTGACAAGTCAGACTTAAAGTTGTGTTACTTGTTTCAGAAAATTCCAACAAATGAACCGCTACATGGAAGCTGCGGTGTACATCCTCTGAGAGTAATATGCCTGGCGAGACTGTGGTGATATTTGTGTGTACGTCATATCATATTCACATTCACCAGGAACTTGAACTCCTACTGTCCTCATCCATGGAGCTGATAAGCCTAACTGTGGCAGCATAGGATCCACATGATCCTTGGGCTCGAAGTATACATCAGGTATAGAAACGGGTCTTCCTCTACTGACGGTGTCACTAGGTTGCCTTCGTGTGTATCTCATGTAACCAACTGGAATCATAGCTAGGCCTAGGATCACTACAATACTTGCCACTGCAATAGCAACAATTAGTGATATTGAGATGTGAGTCGTATTTTTCTGCTGGTCAGGTGATGTTGTTATTAATAACTGATGATTGGGGATTGATTTTTTGTCTTTCGGTCGATCTTTGTTTTCCGATTTCGTTGTATCTACATAATCGGCTTTAGATTCCTCTGACGAAACTTGACTTTTAATGTTAATATATAATACACTTGAACCAATCCCCATAGAATTTGTAACTTGGCACATAACCTTAGTGTTATTTAAAATTCGTTTCATGTCTGTAATTCTCAAAATACGATCATTTTCTAACAGATACATATTTCTATCAATTGGAGGATTGAAAATCCATTCGAATCTTTCTTCCTCTGGATTTGCGTCACTGTAACATATGAAGATGGCTTCCTTATCAAGAACAATGTTGCCTGTTTGTTTAATGCGTACAACAGGAGCATAAATGATGTTTATCGGTCCACAGGAACAATTCCGCCTGATAGATGGGTTAGCTGAAGTTGTGAGTTCACATATAAACATTGCCCTATTGTCAGATTTCTTCGCAAGAAATGAATAATTTACTACATGATTATCATCAGTCATTTTTCGATCAATTCCCGACGTGATGTCAACACTATTGCGCTTCCATTTTAAACGGACAGGGGGTTCTATATTTTCTGATATACACGATATAATGATAGCTTGTCCACGAGAGTACCTTGCGGCGATAGGAGAGCAAATTGGGTAATGTTCTCGAGGTATTTGAAGAACGGTAAAATTTGCTGATTTAGACTCCGCGACAATTATTCCCCCGCTATTATATATCGTACACGTATACTCTCCACTATCTCTCCGTTGAACGTTCTGAATTTGCAAATTATATTTTCTAACATCAGGATCATAGTCTATTGAATAACGATCAATGTTACGTCGGTCAATGATTCGATCATCTTCACTTATTTTGTGACCATTATGTAGCCAGGAGACGTATTCAGTATTATCAAGCCTTTTGATAATACAATTGAAATACGCCAGCTCACCTTCCGCCTGTTTTTCATCAGTTGGCTGCTTTAGAAAGCCAGAGAACGAAGATGTTTGACACACACTGAATACGAGGAACATCACACAGGCTAAACCTTCCATTTTAAACTTAAGTTAAAAATCAACTTTCAAAAATCACATCCATCACATCTTATGTTTGCAAATACGTAGTATTTATCCGCAAAAAGTGTTCCATGATTTTAAACAGCAGTCCAACGCAGTAGTTTGCAATTTAGTCACAATATTCATTGAAATTGAATATTCATATTCTAATAATGTATTCGTCACTTTTTCTGACCTGTTATATTAAAAGTTATGTTACTTGTTTCAGAAAATTCCAACAAATGAACCGCTACAGGGAAGCTGCGGTGTACATCCTCTGAGAGTAATATGCCTGGCGAGACTGTGGTGATACTTGTGTGTACGTCACATCATATTCACATTCACCAGGGACTTGAACTCCTACTGTCCTCATCCATGGAGCTGATAAACCTAACTGTGGAAGCATAGGATCCACGTGGTCCTTAGGCTCAAAGTATACATCGGGTATAGAAACAGGTCTTCCTCTACTGACGGTATCACTAGGTTGCCTTCGTGTGTACCTCATGTAGCCGACTGGTATCATAGCTAGGCCTAGGATCACTACAGTACTCGCCACTGCAATAGCAACAACTAGTGATATTGAGATGTGAGTCGTATTTTTCTGCTGCTCAGGTGAGGCTGTTATTAATACCTGATGATTGGTGTTGGGTTTGATGTCTTTGGATCGATCTTTGTTTTCCGATTTCATGGTATCAACGTAATCGGCTTTAGACTCTTCTGAAGAAACTTGCCTTTGAATGTTAATATATAAAACGCTAGAACCACTCCCGATAGAATTTGTAACTTGGCACATAACCGTAGTGCCATTTAAAATTCGTTTCATGGCTATAAATCTCAAAATACGATTATTTTCTACAATATACATATTTCTATCAATTGGAGGATTGAAAGTCCATTCGAATCTTACTTCCTGTGGATTTGCATCACTATAACATATAAAGATGGCTTCCTTATCAAGAACAATGTTACCTGTTTGTTTAATACGTACAAAAGGAGCATAAATGATGTTGATCGGTCCACAGGAACAATTCCGCCTGATATATGGGTTAGCTGAAGTTGTTAGTTCACATATAAACATTGCTCTATTGTCAGACTTCTTTGCAAGAAATGAATAATTTACTATTTGATTATCATCAGTCATTTGTCGATCTGCCGACGTAATGTCTATATTATTGCGCTTCCATGATAAACGGACAGGAGGTACGATTTTTTCTGATATACATGAAATAACAATAGATTGTCGCAGAGAATAACTTGCGGCGATAGGAGAGCAAATTGGGTAATGTTCTTGAGGTATTTGAACAACTGTAAAATTAGCTGAATTCGACTCCGCGACAATTTTTCCCTCTCTGTTATATATCGTACACGTATACTCTCCACTATCTCTCCGTTGAATGTTCTGAATTTGCAAATTATATTTTCTAACATCCGGGTCATAGTCTATCGAATAACGATCAATGTTATGTTGGTCAATGATTCTATTATCTTTACTTATTTGACGATCGTTATGTAACCAAGAAACATATTCGTTGTCATCTAGCCTTTTGATAATACATGTAAAATACGTCAGTTCACCTTCCACCTGCTTGTCATCATACGGCTGTCTTAAAAATCCAGAGAACGAAAAGGTTTGAAAAGCAAAGAACACGAGAATTATGGAACAAGCTAAGATGTTCATCTCAACGTCCGATAACAGGCCTATATATTCACTTAAAGAATTTCCCATCAAATGGAACACATTATGTTTAAAAGTGTGGAATATTTATCAATAATATGCGTCCAATAGTTTTTAGCAGCAACCCAACGCATAATATTGTAGTGTAGGCCTACATATGATACTATTACAAATTGAATATTCATAGGTTATTCGTAAATTCTTGCGACACATCATACTTAAAGTTATGTTACTTGTTTCAGAAAATACTAACAAATTGATCGCTACAACGAAGCTTCAGTGTACACCTTTTGTGAGTAGTAAACTGGGGTGATATCTGTGTATACGTCACATCGTTTCTTCGATACTCATTTGTGGATCATAAAGAGCGTACTGTAGATTTGACCAACACTATTATAAAATGAGTTTGATGGTGCTGCTATTTTGAGTGTGCATTATAGATATTTGAACACAATCAACATAGAATATAAAATTATGTGATCATCTTTTTTGATATTTTTCAACTTGTGACATAACGCCAACATGTTCACGTTGTCATGTCAATTTTTTTCAGTTTTTTTTATATTTACACGTAATTTCAATATTTGGTTCAAAAATTTGGATGGCTGCGACTTAATAGCCAACTAGTAATGTTTCCTGATGTTTTAACGTTTAAAGACAATTGATAGAGATTGTCAGTTAATTTAATTTTTAATATTTCAATATACAAATACAATAAACAAAATAAATTGTTCTGTACCATATACTGCTATATCATATTAAATAATTCTTCCATAGCTACTAATTATTTTCACCATTATTAATCTTCGAAACATGTTCTACATTTCTACATCGTTACGACAAGCCATCATAAAGTTGAAATAGTTCTTTACCCTCTAGTTACATGTTGTTTAGTGGGTCAAATCAAATCCTGTAAAAGTACTCGATGAAAATTAATTTAAGTAACAAACAACAAAAACGTTCATCATGTTATTTATTCACGTGTTTACAATGAAGATTAATTGTGTGATATTTTGTTGTAAAGTAACAGAAAGATCGATGTGTTTTTTGCGTTGTTCTTCGCTAGAAAAACCAGCATACACAAATAAAATAATACTCCATCTACAAACATGATTAATGAATTATTATGCTAAAATATATACAGTGCAGTTAATATGTCTTAGAGAATTTATGGTTCTTGATGCGTTTTGTCAAATAGGAGAACTTAAAGTGAAGCTGGTGTGTACATTCTTTGTGAATAGTACGCTTGACGTGACTGTGGCGACACTTGTGTATACGTCACGTCATATTCACATTCACCAGGAACTTGAACTCCTACAGTCCTCATCCACGGAGCTGATAAGCCTAACTGTGGTAGCATAGGATCCACGTGATCCTTAGGCTCAAAGTATACATCAGGTATAGAAACTGGTCTTCCCCTACTGACGGTATCACTAGGCTGTCTGCGTGAATATCTCATGTATCCGACAGGTATTAAAGCTAAGCCCAAGATAACTACAATACATGCTACTGCAATGGCAACGATTAGGGATATTGAGAAATCATTACCTGTATTCTTCTTTATTCCAGGAGCGATGGTCTGTAACCTTTCATATTTACTTTTGGAATTATCGTTTTCTGTTTCTATGTCGTCATTTCCTGATTTTACTTTTTCCGTTTTTGATTGAATTTTAACTGTTTTTGAATTGAAAATATTAATTCTTAAAGTTTGTGACCGACTTCCAATAGAATTGGTTACCTTGCATTCAATTAATGAACCATTTAAAAATTCTTGTATATTGGAAATTCTCAAAATACGTTCATTTTCTAAAATATACATGCTTTCGTCGAGTGGTGGATCAACTACCCATTCGAATGTTACTTCTGCTGGATTTGAATCACTGTAGCAAATGAATATGGCTTCTTGCCCGAGCACGACAACATCGGTTTGTTCGATACGCACGTGTGGAGCATATAGGATGTTGATTGGTCCAACAGTACAATTCCTTCGAATAGCTGAATTGGCAGAAGTTGTCAATTCACATGTAAATATGGAACCCTTATCGATTTCACTGGCTACTATTGAATATGAAACTATGTAATCTGCACCGATATTTGATTCAGCTTGTGACGTAACAACAACATAATTACGTTTCCATTTTAATTGTACGGGAGGGTCTGTTATTTCGGATCTACACATAAAATCAATATTTCGTCCAGAAACATAGCTTGATGCGATAGGAGAGCAAATAGGATAGTGTTCTTGGGGAATTTGAAGCACTGTTAAGTTTGCTGTCTGCGACTCGGCCACCATCTGGTTTTCGCCGTTAAACACAGAACATACAAACTGTCCTTTATCTTTTCGTTGAATGTTCCAAATATGCAAAATAAATGTACCAACCAATCGGTTGCTATCTATCATATATCGTTCGTCAACAGTTTTATCAATGATTTGTCCATCTTTACTTATTTTCTTACCATTATGATTCCAAGAAACGTATTCCACATCGCTAAGGCCAACAACCATGCACATGAAAAAAACGATTCCACCCTCAGGTTGCTTGTCGCTCTGCGGCTCCTCATGAAAACCGGTAAAGGCATTCGATTGATAAATGGAAGTCACGAACAATAAAAGCAAAAAAAACTGCATCATATCAATATTCTCATAATCATAAGTCACATATTTGTAGTGAGAGATAAAAATAATGTATATACGTCTGCACTTCAATTAAAAAACCGACATACTGCACACAGATAAAATGTTACACCCAGAAAGTACGCTGATGAATATTCATGTTCAAATAACAGTTAGACAACGAAATATAATTTTAAGTTACCGGTTTTAGTTGCGCTGTTAAAAAAAAAAAAGAAAACTTAAAGCGATGCTGCCGTGTACATCCTTTGTGAGTAGTAGGCCTGACGTGACTGTGGTGACAATTGTGTATACGTCACATCATATTCACATTCACCAGGAACTTGAACTCCTACTGTCCTCATCCACGGAGCTGCTAAGCCTAACTGTGGTAGCATAGGATCCACATGATCCTTAGGCTCAAAGTATACATCAGGTATAGAAACTGGTCTTCCTCTACTGACGGTATCACTAGGCTGTCTGCGTGAATATCTCATGTATCCGACAGGTATTAAAGCTAACCCCAATATAACTACAATGCATGCCACTGCAATAGCAACAATTAGTGATATTGAGAAATCATTACCTGTGTTCTTCTTTATTCCAGGAGCGATGGTCTGTAACCTTTCATGTTTACTTTTGGTATTATCGTTTTCTGTTTCTATGTCGACATTTCCTGATTTTACTTTTTCCGTTTTTGATTGGATTTTAACTGTTTTTGAATTAAGAATATTAATTCTTAAAGTTTGTGACCGACTTCCAATAGAATGTTTTACTTTGCATTCAATTAATGAACCATTTAAAAATACTTTTATATTGGAAATTCTCAAAATACGTTCATTTTCTAAAATAAACATGCTTTCATCGAGTGGTGGATTAAATACCCATTCAAATGTTACTTCTGCTGGATTTGAATCACTGTAGCAAATGAAAATAGCTTCTTTTCCGAGCACGACAACATCTGTTTGTTCTATACGCACGTGTGGAGCATACAGGATGTTGATTGGTCCACTAGTACAATTCCGTCGAATAGCTGAATTTGCAGAAGTTGTCAATTCACATGTAAGTATGGAACCCTTATCGCTTTCACTGGCTACTATTGAATATGAAACTATGTAATCTGCATCGATATTTTCTTCAACTTGTGACGTAACGTAAACATTATTCCGTTTCCATTTCAAGTGCACAAGAGGGTCTGTTATTTCGGATCTACATGTGAAATCAATATTTTGTCCAGAAACATAACTTACTGCGATAGGAGAACAAATTGGATAATGTTGTCGAGGAATCTGAAGAACTGTTAGGTTTGCTGGCTGCGACTCGGCAATCAACTGGTCATCATGCTTAAACACAGTACATACAAATTCCCCCTTATCATTTCGTTGAATGTTTCGTATATGCAAATTAAATGTTCCAAGCAAAATATTACTATCAACTATATACCGATCGTCTATATCTTTGTCAGTGATTGTTCCATCTTTACTAATTTTCTGACCATCATGAATCCATGAAACGTATTCCAAATTGTCAAGACCAACCACCATACAATTGAAATAAACTATTCCACCCTCCGGTTGTTTTTTGTTTGATGGCTCTATGTGAAATCCTGTAAACGAATTCGATGGAAAAATATAAGTCATAAACAACAGGAATAACCAAAGTAGCATCATCCTCTTAGTCTCATATTTACTGTAAAGATAAAGTTAACTGTGTTGTTATACACAGGATATACTGAGAGTGTAAATACAATTACACTTATCCATAAACCAGCGTACACGGATAAAATGTTCCACCCACAAAACAGACAGCTTATGAATATTCATTTTCAAAACTTATACATTTAAAAGTGTGGCTTAGAGAAACAAAGTTTAGTTACTAGTTTTAGTTTTGTTGGGCTAATAGCAGAACTCAAAGTGATGCAGCCGTGTACATCCTTTGCGAATAGTAGGCCTGGCGTGACTGTGGTGATACCTGAGTATACGTCACATCGTATTCACATTCGCCAGGAACCTGAACTCCTACTGTCCTCATCCATGGAGCTCCTAAGCCTACCTGTGGCAGCATAGCATCGACGTGATCCTTAGGCTCAAAGTATACTTCAGGTATAGAAACAGGTCTTCCTCGACTGACGGTGTCACCAGGCTGTCTGCGTGTGTATCTCATGTAACCGACAGGTATTAAAGCTAAGCCCAATATTATCACAATACATGCTACTGCAATGGCAACGATTAGTGATATTGAAAAGTTTTCCTGTTTATTCTTAGTTCCCCCAGGAGCGATGGACTGTGGCCTTTCATGTTTGCTTTTGGTTTTATCGTTTTCAGTTTCTATGTTATTTTCCTCATTTCCTGATTTTACTCTTTCTTTTTTTGATGGGATCTTAACTGTTTCTGAATAAGAATTATAAATATCAATTCTTAAAATATGTGACTGACTTCCAATGGAATTCGTTACTTTGCATTCAACAAATGAACCATTTAAAAATGCTTTTATATTGGAAATTCTCAAAATTCGTTCATTTTCTAACGTGTACACGCTTTCATCGAGTGGTGGATTAAACACCCATTCAAATTTTACTTCTGCTGGATTTGAATCACTGTAGCAAATGAAAATAGCTTCTTTTCCGAGCACTACGAGGTCTGTTTGTTTTATACGCACGTGTGGAGCATACAGGATGTTGATTGGCCCACTAGTACAATTCCGTTGAATAGCTGAATTTGCAGAAGTTGTCAATTCACATGTAAATATTGAACCCTTATCGTTTTCACTGGCTACTATTGAATATGAAACTATGTAATCTGCACCGATATTTGCTTCAACTTGTGACGTAACGTCAACACTGTTCCGTTTCCATTTTAACTGCACAGGAGGGTCTGTTATTTCAGATCTACATGTGAAATCAATATTTGTACCAGCAATATAACTTGCTGAAATTGCCGAACAAATTGGATAATGTTGTCGAGGAACTTGAAGCACTGTTAAGTTTGCTGGCTGCGACTGTGCAACCAACTGGTCACCATTTTTAAACACTGTGCATACAAACTGCCCATCATCCTTTCGTTGAATGTTTTGTATATGCAAATGAAATGTACCAAGCAAACTATTACCATCTACGACATATCGATCACCTACATTTTTGTCAATGATTATGCCATTTTCACTTATTTTCTTACCATCATGAATCCAAGAAACGTATTCCACCTCTTTAAGACCAGTCACCATACAATTGAAATAAGCTATTCCGCCCTCCGATTGCTTTTTGTTTAATGGCTCTAATTCGAATCCAGTAAAAGAGTTCGAAGAACAAATATAAGTCATAAACAACAAAAATAATTCAATCAGCATTATCATATTTAAAGTGAAAACAAACCTTATTGTGTTGATATACACAGGACATACTGCGTGTGTTACTAGATACATTTACACTTTTATCCATAAACCTGGACACACGGTTAAAATGTTCCACCCATAAAACAGACAGCTTATGAATATTCATTTTTACAACTATACAGTCAGACGTGTGGCTTAGAGAAACAATGTTTGGTTACTAGTTCTAGTTTTGTTGGGTTAAATAGCAGAGCTTAGAGTGAAGCTGCCGTGTACATTCTTTGTGAGTAGTAGGCCTGACGTGACTGTGGTGATACTTGTGTATACGTCGCATCATATTCGCATTCACCAGGAACTTGAACTCCTACAGTCCTCATCCATGGAGCTGCTAAGCCTAACTGTGGTAGCATAGGATCCACATGATCCTTAGGCTCAAAGTATACATCAGGTATAGAAACTGGCCTTCCTCTACTGACGGCGTCACTGGGTTGTCTTCGTGTGTACCTTATGTATCCGACAGGTATCATAGCTAGACCTATAATCACTACAATACATGCCACTGCAATTGCAACTATCAACGACAGAGGAAAATTATTAGAGCCTTTGTTGTCCTTGCGATCTCTACCTACATGTTCTAGTTCTTGTTTTCTACCAACCTGCTTGTCACTTTGATCCTGTGTTTTTCTTTCTTTTTCTGGCGGCCTAATTGATGAATGATGTGATTTCTCTATTATCACTTTTATAATAAGTTCATCTGAGTTCATTCCAATTGAATTATAAACTGTACATATGACGCGTGTCATATTTAGTACCTGAGATGCCTTTAAGATACGTACAATGCGGTCGTTTTCAATTTTGTACTCGGTATCTTTAATTGCCGGTACAAAGCTCCATTTATATTTTACTTGTGAAGGATTCGCATTACTGTAGCATATGAGGATTGCTTCTTCTCCAGCAACAATAGTATCAGTTTGTTGTATTCTAACTTGAGGTCGATACAACACGTTTATTGGTCCAATTGTGCAATTTCGTCGAAAATTCCGGTCTGCTTTCGTTAATAATTCACATGTAAACATTAACCGATTATGTTTTTTGTCTGCATTAAAAGTATGTTTTATGACATTAGCCGGTGAATTTTCGTCAAGATGTTCAGTTGAATCAAGGACATCTGTGCTTGAAAGCCACCTTATCGACGATGGAGGATTTGTCACTTCAGTAGTACATGTTAATGTAACGACTTCACCTTCAATATAGCTTGCTGAAATAGGGGAGCATATCGGATAGTGCGCTTTTGGTATTTGTCTGACTGTTAGATTTGCAACTGATGACTCTGCTACTATAATATCATTTTCATTATATACACAGCAATTGTATTGTCCTTCATCACTCCGTTTCACAATGCTAATTTTGAGAGTGTATATTCCTAGTGAAGCATCGATGTCCACAGAAAATCTGTCTGTTATTGCACTTCTAACAATAGCATCATTTTTGCTAATTCGGTCGCCATTGAACATCCACGAAACATATTCTAACGGACGAAGATCTTTAACAACGCACGTGAAGATGCCAACTTCACTTTCTGTAACGGCATCATTTAACGGGTGCTTGGATATTATTGCCGAATTATTGATAGTCGGCAAACAAACAATAATTATATGAAAAAACAAATAACGTTTATAACGTGTATGCATCACGATTCAGATATGAAAATAATAAAGCATCCTTGTATCAACTCCTTAGGCTTTCAAATCGAAAACGTTTCTGTATTGTCATCAAAGTACGCAAGATGTTAGGTCTACATATCACATATTTCAATTTATGGAACGCCCACAAATAGAATAATCGGTGAATGTATCTAGTAAATTATTCATAAGTGTGTCTAAAGCTAAACATTACAGCCAGTTCTACTAAACGTTAAGTTATATGTGCTGTATTGTTGCCTCGTACTTTTGAAGGGCTACAAATGCCCTGCCGTGTACATCCTCTGTAAAGTAGTAAGTAGACGTGATTGGAATACTTGCGTATAGAGTTACTAAGTCACGTAATATTCACAAACACTAAAAAATTGAACTTCTTGTTGTCCCCATCCATAGAGTTTATAAACCTTAAATTGTGGTGGTGTTTTGGTTTCATCTGCATTGTTTTATTTTATTTTCTTACTTTCCGTCTTCTATGTATTTCTTCGCTACAGTATATTAGTACAAAAAGTATAAAAAAAAGTAAAAGAACGCTCTGATTGCAGCAGCTATACAAATGTTGTAATGTATGTAGTGTATATAAGCCCAATTGTAGAAACATAATAGGTACAGTGTTTAAGTTCTAAGTATACACCAGTTATAATAATTTTTTTTAAAATCACTGACGATGTTGTTGATTGTACGCGTGTACTGTATAAATTACTTAGCTAAGCTAAATTGCCACGCCTGAACTGTTAAGCGACAGATAGGTACTCCATTGATATCTACCGTTGAGATTTCAGCAGCCTTATACAACATTTTCCTTAATGTTTTTATTTCAAGATATGGGATGCTCTGACGTGAACGTGTGTGTAACTTGCTGGGATTTTCTTGTAAAAAAAAGATGGCTTAATATTTAAATAAAGCAATGCCTGTTTATTGGATACCCAATTTGAGGGACGTGGAGAACACTTCGTCGCTCACATCACGAACTAACACAATCAAAGTAGATTGTGTTAGTTCGTGAAATCACAGTAGCGCGTCAAAACGAGCGCGTATTGGTTGTCAAGCAAATTTGTATTCTTTACCACACAAAAAGTAGTAATTTTGTATTCTTTACCACACAAAAAGTCCTTAACGACAACAGCGCGTATTTTGACGCGCTTTTTTGATTTCACGAACTAACACAATTGAATTTAATTGTGTTAGTTCGTGATGTGAGCGACGACTTATTGGTTCTCTACTGCAGTTTTTAGTTAAAGTAGGGTTGATAGTAATTGTTTTAGGTAATATTGTTCATTGTTCCCTTTATTAGGTCCTTGCGGAAAATATTTCGTGTGTATCAATGTACATAGCAACATTAAATATGCACAATACAGAGAGAATACTGAATATAAAAAAATACAATAAAAACACTATTAAAAATTTTATTTAAGAACATCAGATTCATTTAAGAACATCAGATTAAAACATCATAATGACATGCAAAAATATATATACAATATGGTATGTTCAATGGAATTCAATGGCATTGGCTGCAGGCTGAGTCATTTTGATTTCAAATCTAAATTAAATTATTTGATGTTATTCTTTTGAATATGCTCTTGGATAACACATCTTAGACAACATTAAAATAACAGGCAGCAACAAGCAGTAAGTGTACATAAGATGAAAAACAACCCACCTACCCTAACGGATTGCCGAAATGTAAACTTAATGCAGTCGGAACAACTTAATTTAATTTATATGACATAATTAGCAATGCAGTCAAATAACATCAGAATAAATTACAAAAAAATACCTAGAATTTATTAAGAAAATTTGACAGGAATACATTAATTACTTATTAATTATTAATTAATGAATTATTATTATTATTATTATTAATTATTAATTATTGCATTACCTACCTAGAATACCAAGAATTTATTAAGAAAATTTGACAGGAATGCATTAATTACTTATTAATTAATAAAAATGCTAATTAATAAAATAATTAATTAATTATTATTATTATTAATTATTATTAATTATTGCATTACTGTACATACTAATGGGAAGGGGCTATTTCATTTATTTTTCGTAATGTGTAGGAGAGGTCACTTTGTTTAAACCACCCCTACAACAATTATGCAATATTTTTTATTTATTGTTTGTTTGTTTTTTTTAAATCATATTGTGCTTGGGCTTAATATTTTTACGTGGTGTGTACTCATCACCATCACGAAAGTCTGCAAAGGAATTTCGAAGGTACTAAACAAAATGTCTTATTATTTTTTTAATTAGTCAATTTAAAGTAGGACTAGGCCTATTCAATAATAACAACACATGTGATTCAAATAATATATCTACGAAAATAACAAATAGAAAAAAAACTATTTAGCAAAAATAACACAAATATAAAATACATTCACATTTACATCTAATCAATAATGACTATCTAATAATATACAGTTGCGACATTAAAATAAATAATGAAATGACAATATATATTAAATTTGTACAGTAATATAAATTTAAAAATTCTGAATATGAAAATATCAAGGAGTCCATTAGTAATCTCTAAAGTCGAGCATTTACTTTACAATACGTAGGCCTATTATATTCTTTGTCTCAACCGATTTCCATTATTCAGGTGTTTTGATACATATGTTTAAGTTTATATTGCGTTGGCCATTTTACGTCATCTTAGTGGGATTTACATAGTCTAAAATGAATATTCATTAAGCTGTGTAATGATTGGCAGTGTCGCAAAACAAGGTGTGTGACTATTGATTATCGTTCCCATCATCCCTTTCGTCCAAGAGCTGGAATCGTCCACTTTTAGAAACGGCATAGAAGAACAAAAGATTTAGGAATCATAATTATACTGTATTGGGTATGGACAATAATATGTTTGTTACGATTTACCGTCCAAAAAGGCCTGCACAAATTTGGAAGAAATAATTATATCGTAGTACCTTATTTTTAGACTTCTTGCCATTAAGGGCATTTTTTTAGTTAGTGTAAAATAACCATTTTACACTAACACGAATCTCCAAATTATGGTACGAGGAGTTGTAACCTACAAAACCAACACAATGAGAATTCATTATTTAAATTACGTTACCACAGTGGACGGTAGTGTAGAGTAATATTCAACATAGATAAGTGAACGCACACTTATTTGAGCGAGTTGCTGATCATATATAAAAAGGCGCATGTTTACTAAATAATATATATGGGCTAATGTAACGTGGCCATGTTGACCCCAAATGTTAACCTCCAAAATAGTAAGTCATTTCGAATAATGTATTACGAATGAGAAATGCCTACATTTATTACAACATTTTAGCATGTGCAGTACTGTATAATCCGGTTTCCACCAATTTATGTTTAT